TCCTATTCTGCTGGATAAATTGGAGGCTTTGGGTATTCGTGGTTTGCAGCTTAAACTATTTGATAGCTACTTGAGTGATAGACAGCAAAGAGTAAGGGTGGGCAACATTGTTAGTGACGATTTGCCGATACGCTATGGTGTGCCACAGGGTAGTGTTTTAGGTCCGACACTGTTTATGTCATTTATCAATGATCTTTGTGACCTCCAGTTACAAAATGGTAAAATAATAACATTTGCAGATGATACTGCACTTGTGTTTCATGGTGATAGCTGGAAAGATACTGTCGACATTGCTCAAAGAGGATTCGACGTTGTTAACAAATGGCTCAGAATGAATGCCCTAACTATCAATGTCAATAAAACTAAATGTATACCGTTCTATATAAAAACTCCTGGTTCTAGTACTAACCTTGGTTTAACTGCTCATGTATGTTCTGATACTGATTCTTGTGACTGTCAAAAGATCTTTGTTGCCAACAATACTAAGTATCTAGGTGTCGTTGTTGATAGCACGCTAAAGTTTAACTACCACATTGACCTGCTACTATCGCGAACTCGGAAACTTATCTTCACCTTTAAGAATCTCCGTAATATTGCTGAAAAATCGATAATTAAAATGGTTTATCAATCCCTCTGCCAATCCGTTTTAAGCTATTGTGTTACTGTCTGGGGAGGGGCTTGTAAAACTAATCTTATAAAACTGGAGAGGGCTCAGCGTGCGTTATTGAAAGTAAGTTATTCTAAACCATTTTTTTACCCTACCAAAGATCTATATCTTTTATCTGACGTGTTGAGTGTTCGTCAACTATTTATACTGAACACTGTGCTCAAACAACACTCCATAACTCGCTATGATCCTTCTTTGAATGACAACAAACGATGCAAATATAAAGTCTGCACCTCAGATACCCGTTGGTCCACAGCTTTCTCAAGAAGGTTTTTTGGTTTTATGGGCTGTCACCTATATAACAAGATAAACAGGTTGATCAACATATATCCGCTTACTAAATATGAGTGTAAAAAAGCCACAGTCAAATGGCTTAAAAATCTAGACTACGAGGGGACTGAGAAGTTGTTAGTAGTCCTCAGCTAATACCTAACACTAACACGTTATGTATACGAGTACATAGGTACACTATCACCCATGCTCATATATGCTTCACTAAGACATATATACACTAAGTCATAAATTCACTAACACATACATACATTAACACTTACATACACTAAACCATACATGCACCATCACACACACCCACTTAAATGTGAGTATATTTGTAATATTTGTAATAGTCTCTCGATCAAATTGATGTACCTACTTAAATTCCATTCGGTCCGGATGCGGAGGGACTGGCAATCTGTAATACAGGTATCCTAGTACAGTCGCCAGTCTCTCACACAGATTTTGCCTGTTAATGCTGAAATTTGTATTTTGTGTCTGTATTTTTGTGTGAGAGAAAACAAATAAATATTTTATTATTTATTTATTATTATTAGTTTTTGGCCATTCTTTCGATTGGCATCATAAAAGTAGGGGTGTTTTTTTACATTTAAGTCAGTTCGATTCCCAGACGAGGCAAGTAATTTTTAAAAAATCTTTGAATGCAGAATTAATAACTTTTAAAAATAACATAAAGTCTTCTTTTAGTAAAATACCCTATCTACGATATTTAAGGTACTTTCCCTTCGTTTCCCATAACTTTGGGACGCCCTGTATTGGTAGGCGGTGGTAGCGGACTATCGAAAGTGTACGGCATTTATCTTTTATTGAAGATTGTCTAAAGTATTAATAACCTGTGTTATTGCCGTACAGATAAAAGTCACCGGAAAATGACTCTTTTCTGAGAAAAGTAATTTGCCCCATACACCTATGTGTTCCACAAAAAATGTACGGCATGCTGGAAAATGTAATCTATTTGTGAAGTACTCTCAAGATCATTTAATTTTATGTTGATTCATATCATCATCACCTATATGCTAATCAGACATATGTTGCGACCCTTGGCTTTCGACCGCTCCGCTGGGAATATGTACGGCGTTTACGGGTAAAGTATCTGTATATGTGTCCAAAAGGAATGACACAAATGCCGTACAGTAATAAATGACCTGTATTGCTCCTGCAACTGTCGTCGAATTAAAAATTTGCACCGACTTCCGGCACCATCACTTTTGTACGGCACTAGGTTTTTCGACATTTATTTTTAATCATCTATACACTTATAACAAAGCCGTACATTAATAATTAGTCGAAATTCCCCCATTGTACATGAGAAAGTCCATTAACTCACGTACTCACATGTACCGCTCAGAAATGACGGCATAGTGCTCAGAGCTATTTTCAGATATAGTAACAGCCTTCTAAGCGTAATTCACGTTGGGTCATTTCACAGGTATTTTTTGTTCATGGGCTTGTGGTCTACATTCGTTTTGAGAGTGCTCAATTGTGCGAAGCGTTGCTGTAGTTGGAACTCTCAACGTTGAGCATTATGCCGCATAATGCGCTCTAGTGCTGTAATTGGAAAACGCACACTTCTATTTTGCCTTTACCTTCTACATTGTATTCTGAATGTTGAGTCTATGGTTTCAAAATAGTAACTAATATACGTAATCTGTGTTTTAAACTTTCAAGTTGCAATTTCTATTTGGCCTAAAGGTCTAGATACCAGGCCATAAACTCAGTTGCAATTTCTATCTTTCCCTATTTTACATAATAAACAAAAGTTAATTTTTAAAGTTGCATATACAATACAGTTGGAAATATTTTACGGATTATCAACTCATCTAGTATACTTAAATATTACCGGTCCTCAGAACCCAATATGTCAACAGGAAAACTTTGGGGTGAATTTGAAGACGATGAGCCTAATGAGGCAGTACTGCAAAGTGTTAACTTTAATCCAATTATTGAACTTGGTATGCAAAATATTCCGGAAATTCCCATCAGTGTAAAGTCTTCTCCCGTCGAACTACCGAAAGCTAATCTTATAACTCACACAATTCAACTTCATGCCTATGCTAGACAATTGTCGGCTATTTTAGAACAGACTGAAAATGCAGTATTTGAAGGAGCAAGATTAGATGCATTAAGCTTGCCTAATCCTCCTCCAATTCCAGATATGGAAATGGAGCATTTGGCTTCTCCTCCAATAAATTTTCTTCCTAAAGAGTATTGTGATTTCTCACTTGGTAAAGGTGCAGTAATTCTACCCTTTACTCCTGAATGTCACAGAAGAGCTTTAAAGCAATGTGCAGCTATAAGTATTGGGCATATTGGAGTTGCTACATGCACTAACACAGCTCTTAATGCTGTAGCAGATTCTTTGGATTCCTATTTAACAAACCTGTGTAAATTAATGAGAACTGTCACTGACAGACAAGCAAGTGGTATTAAATCAGGGTTCCCAGACATAATATCAAAAGTATTGGCAGATTTAAATGTTGGAAATCTTCATGATTTTTATGAGAATCGTGTAGTAAGATATCATAGCAAAATTAAAAAGAAATGTGATAATTTACGGTCACAGTGTGAAGCACTAACAATTGGAGATATAGCACCACAGTTAAAACTTGAAGAAGTGCCAGAGCTGCATTTCCCTGCCGCCTTAGACAGTGCATTCACTCCTTCATTGGAACCTGGTTTTCAAATGTTGCATAATTTGGAACAAGAACAGTTACAAGGTCTAGATTTATTAGATACAGTATCAACTGAAGACATTAAAGTCGAGTCTGTGGATTTCTCACAACCAGAAACCAAGTTGCCTCTGTCTCCTAGTGCTAAGAAAAAAAGAAAATAAAGTTTTTATACAAATTGTTGTTTTGGCATATGAATAACTTATTTAAGTTAAAATTAGGATTTGGTTATTCAGTATCAACAACACCAGGTGGCAAAGACCCTATACTTACCCTTAGTTTTAGAGCTGTGCGACTTATTACAAAAATGCATTGGATTTGACATATTACATATTTAGTACTGTTATTGTTAGACATTGTAAATTTGTTTTTTATCTTAATCCAACCTTATAACAATTTAAAAACACATTAGAAAAAAATATCATAACATACTTAAAAGAAACCTCTCAAAATAAAAGTTTTCTTTGTCATTTAGATGGTAGTAGTCATAGTAGTGGTACATGACATATTCATAGCTAATTTGAAACCTCGTTTGCAAAATTGCTTGTATCTCAAAGCAATTTTCCCCATTGAAATTAGTTGAAATTCCATGAATCCATTTCAGCACCCAAAACACAACCTCAGTTTTTAAATAAGAAAATGATTTCACGCTTTAATTCAATAGACATCTACTTCGGACCCATGGTTAGAACAATAAATACGATGTTTTGTAAATGTACAAAAGGCAAAAAATGCAAAACTATCTACAGATTGCATAATTACCAATGTTTTTTATTTTATGTCCTCCAGTTACTTTTCCATAAAATTGGTCTATTTCTTTACCATTTTATTGTTAAATTTTTTATTTATTAACCACTATGCCATGATGAAAGAGATTGGTTGAATCAGACTGCATGTAAGATGAAAATTACAGGACATGAAATATAGAAAGACAAGAAAAGCACCAGTAACATAGCACCAAACATTTATTTGTACAAAATTTGATTAAAACTAACAAACCATATTCTTAAAAGAGTGCTAAGTGAGCATTACCATTGCTCGGAGAAGCTGCAATAATTATATCTTGTCAAACTTAATATAATAAACTACTGCAAAGAATGATTATTATACATTATTTATGATTTGTGTTAAAAAAACTTATAAATTAATGACTTAAAATCAGGAATGAAGATCATAGTAGCTCATAACAAATAAACAAATTTTAATACAGAGGATACTGTTTAAGCATAATATGTTACATTATGTCTAAAATTTTGCTACAAGATAAATAATGGACAAGTTGACGACATCAATAAACATGCATAATTAAAAATGTTGTTATGAGCAAACTTAAATTAATATTACATCTAGTTTTTTTTGTAAATTAAGAATTACTTGTTCTGCGTTTGAGGCTTCTTTCTTCGAAACAGTAGAATATGAGGCTCTGAAAAATAATAACCTTATAATGTTTTATATTTTGAAGAAAACTTTGTTTTATAATGTCTATTATTACAGTCGAGTATTATTAGCCAATTCTGAAAAAAATAAACATATAACTGTTTTTTTTAATACAAATAAATGTGCTTTATGTGTACAAAAAATCATCCACTAATATCAATTAATGCTATTATATTATACTTTTACTATACATAATGAATATATAGGTAAACAAACAAGCTTTTAAAGAAACTGACCTGGTTGATGTGTCATATAGTGTACCCATCCGTGGCTTTGTTGCACACCAATACTACGCCACTCGTCCTCACTCATTAAGTGGTTTTTAGGAATAAGTTTTACCATCTCTTTTGGTAACACTACATGCCTGAAATGCAAAAATAGTTATGACCTACTGTATTTACAGTTAGCTATTCTTTTTAAACAACCAATTTAAGAAAAATACGCAAGTAAAAATACTAATTACATTTGAAAACCATTTACCTATCAAGAAGAATTTGAAGAAAAGCAATGACATGTTATTTTGAAATACCCATAAAAGCACTATCAAAGCGAATAATCTAGGTATTTTACATTTCTTTCTTTACTGTAGCCGTAATGTTATAGTACAGTATAAGTATGTATAGTTATTCATTTATATTGCACAATATCAGCTTCAGAATTATTAGTAAATAAGATATACCTGTATTCGTGATCGTCGTCATAATATTTCTCCGAATAGTAAATGTCTCGAGCAGACATGTTGACCATACGTCTTTGTTCCTCAAAATATGTATAAGTCTGAAAGTTTCCACTTTATTAATACTACAATAACTAAGTAGTAAAGAGCTTTATCGATTTTTTAACACAATAAGTATTTTAGATTGTGCTAAGAAAATGAAAACTCTGGGGTTATACAATGAGAATGACAATTGAAAAATTCGTTAGACGAAATTTCAAATTTGAATCTCCCGATGAAATTCCATTAACATTTTTTTATTGAGGAAAACACATATGGAAGGAAGTCTTTTTGACGACATGTTTTGTTTGTCTTGCTTTTTATCTAGTGGTAATAAGCTATTATATTAAGTACAATTCTTTTTAGTTTACTGTAAAATGCAATATTTTAGAATAAGTTTCTTTCTAAACCACAGGGTTCTGTATAATCCTTAAATAGGATCTGTGAATAGAAATCCACTTGGATCATTTTTATTATAATTACAGATATATAATATTATATACAGATATTAGTAAATTTGCGTCCCTTATCTAGAATTAGGTATTCCAAAACGAGACAAGATTGATAATAACATACAAAGATAGTCGATAATGTTCCCGAGTCTCGACTTTCGCCTGGATGTGATGTATAATCTATATTATTAATTACTGTTCCTTTCCATAATGTAGTATTAGAGATAGTTTTATAACCTGCTGATCCTATCCTTTATCCGATGTAATTTTAGTTTGAATTTAAAAAAAAATGTTTTTTCTGTGGCAATACGCTCTGCGTGAAGCTATTTATAAAAAAAAATTACATATAATCTATTATATGGATTTGACGTTTATCATGAAGATTGAAGAATCCACAGTCCATTTCCACAATAATATGCTAATGTGTTAAAACTTCCATGTTCTTTGTTTTGGAAAAAAACCTTATTAATACTTTAGGTACTTGCTAATTATATATATATTTACAAGGAAATTTTAAGGAACTGAAACCATTAGACCTAAAATTGTAATAACATTAAAAAGTTACATAAAATTAAAATAATTAATTAGTAATACAATTAAATGTATACAAACAACAGCTGATTATATAAATAAAAGGATCATATTCCAATATATATATATAATTATATTCCAATATAATATATAGTTTATAAACAAATAGTTAAGGATGAACGTTACCCCTCTACATTTTGGAAGTATATGCCGAATCTGTCTGCGAGGCAGCAAAACTTATTCTTTTAAAAGTTTGTTTGAAAATATACAGAATGACACCATAAGCTCAAAGTTAATCGCAATAGCAAACATAAGCGTGAGTAAAACTTGAAATGATTATAATATGCATTAATCTAATATTGTAAAATCTTTCAAATTAACACTATCTGCTTAATTTTTGATAATATTTATCATGGTTCATTACAGATAGATAAAATGGATGGGTTTTCAAAACTTATTTGTTTAAAATGTACCAAACGATTGAATAAATGCATTGAATTTATAGAATTATGTCAACAGTCAGAAAAGAAGTTTAAAGATCTAAATTCTATGAAGCTTTGCAACAAATTTATAGAGGATAAGAAAGAATGTGTTCTACAACTTACACAAGATGAATCAAAAGCAGAGCTAAAAAACAATGATATTTTAAATATTTCAAAAGCTGAAAGGCAACATCAATGTTCCATATGTGGAAAATTTATGTCCTCCAGGTACTTTTTCATAAAATTGGTCTATGAAAGATATTTTAATGGAGTTAAAATACTCAAATAAATGATTTCCTGGTTAATTGTATTGTTACAGATATAGGCTTAGAACTCATTCAGTTACACACACCAAAGAACGCCCGTTCCCATGTAATCAGTGTGATAAAAGCTTTTCACTATCAGAAACCTTGAATGTGCATAAAAGGACACACACAGTATGTACGATTTGTTATCTGAGTTTAAGAGTTTTTTTATTATAACATAATCTCATGTTTTTCAGGGTGAAAAACCATTTCACTGTGGAACTTGTGGTAAGGGTTTTGCCCATTCAGCTGGTCTGATAGCTCATAACCGAAAGCATACTGGTCAGTTACCTTACCAGTGTCATCTTTGCCCTAAGCGATTCAGAACTATAGGCCATTTGCAATATCATATATGGTAATTAAATTTAAAATATTATCAGTCTCGTTATAGAGTTTTCTAAATGTCTTAATGATTTAAGATGATTTAATTTTAAAACTTTAATATGACCGTTGTGTAATTGTCATTACAGTTGGTAAAAACATAGTTTAATTCCAGATATATTACAGTAATAAATTTTGTACAATTGTTGATTTCTAGTAAACATACAGGAACACGAAATTTTGATTGTGATACATGTGGGCGTGCCTTTATCACCCGTCAAGATTTAAAGCAACATCTAATCTCGCATGGTGGTGAGAAACCTCATGTCTGCTGTGTTTGTGGATTGCGTCTGAGTCGCGCCTCGAACCTTCGACGTCACACAAAACTAGCACATTCTGAAGATTCTTCTTTGTTATTTGATAAAAGCAGTGGGAAACATCCAAAGTCATCCATAAAGTGACCTAAATATAAGTACTGTTTAACTGTTCAACCTATCTCTTCCTGGAGGGTCACAAAGTTCACTAGAACTTTGACCTTCAAGTGTCTTTGTGGTACATGAATCTGGTGTCAGCCATAATGGTCTAAGATCCCGATATACAACAACCTTCACCGAGATGCTTATTTAATGAAACGTATTTTATATTTAATATAATATGTCAATAAATATAATACATATGGGTTACCTAGCAAATTTCAGTCCAGAGTATTTTAATTAATATTTAAAAAAAAAAATTTCTTTTAAACATTTCACCGGTATGATTATTAGATAAATTCTATACCAATCGAAAGTATGAAGCCCATAGAATATGCAAACGTTAGGTTGTTTTTAATCAATTAATTATTTATGTGTATATTTTTTATGTGACACTAAAGAAAGTTATAGTGATACATATATAATACTACCCTGATTAAAAATATTGATTGAAAAAAATTATATATATATTTTTTTTTAAAAGTATTAATTAAACATACTCTGGACTGAAATTTGCTAGGCAACCCATATGGATTATATTTATTGACATATTAAATAAAATATAAAATACGTTTCATTAAATAAGCATCTCGGTGAAGGTCGTTGTATATCGGGATCTTATACTATAAGTAAGATCTGAAATAAAGTTTTACTACAAAATAAACGCGTTTAATTTTAGGAGAGACTTGATAAGTGGTTCGTGATATGGGCGAACGTGTTATCCCAATTTAAATATATTAATTTATAAACACTAAATCAGTTGCACAGTACAATTACTCTTTAAACTAATATGCAATTTTGTCTCTTTCTGTCAAATTGTGTTTACGGTGTAATAAACAGAGACACATTACACACAGACATTAGTTAAAAACGGTGCAATGAAACTAATTTCTTTTATAATACGGGAATTAAATTCTAAGTTGACAGTACCACTCATTGGTTAGTTGGTATTGTGCGGTTTTTTGCGGGATATATTTTTTTCTATTAATACAGTACATACATACATACATAATAATACATACTATTAATACATGTGGCGATCTTCAGACTGAATTTATTACTCTCTGGCTCTCTAAACTGTACAATACAGTTGCCCGCAACTTCTGTGAGACACCGGCTAATAGAAATAAAGTTTCGCACGGAAATTAAAAATAGCCTTGTTCTGAATATTAAATAGAATGCAACAGAATAACGCAGAACAATTAATACTGCACATAAAATCGACCTCAAAAGCAAACAATTGAAACATCCTATGACTATTTGTGACGGTATCGGTTACATAGGATTAAATTTATATACGAGTTGGTGTGCATGACTTTTTTTTTATAGCTGTCCCGGCGAACCTCGTTTAACTGTTAATGAGTGAGCAGATTTAAAGAATTTAAAATTACTAAATTCAATTTGAAGAAACACATCGACCGGCCACATTTAATTTTAAAAACATTACGTTAGCTGTCTCCTATGTTAAATCATTTTTTCAAGATATTTTTGTAATATAATTATATATCTAATATTAAGTATCAAAATATGATAATATTTTAATACTTATTACGAACGAAGACAACAAAATATAAATCCTAAAAATCCAACGATAGAAACCAATTCCCTGGTTCCTGGACACGGTCTTAGGGCATTATCTATCAAATCTTAAAATATATAAAATACAAAATAAGCAAGTATAATATATCACATACATGATACAGAATAACATATAGGATCTTAAATATTAGAAAGTATTTTTTTTAAGTAAAATTTGACTATATATAATGAAAATAATACTTTTAGGTAAAACAATACGAATAGTAATTAATTAACGAGTTCTACGGTAATACTGTAACGATAAAGTGTAGACATGCTACGACCGGATGTTGACCGGCGGATGACTACGAATCTCTACGAAAACTCATGCTACGCATTCTTAATTGTAGTTTGTTAGTCCATCTTAATATATATATTTCTTCTGTGCGTGTGTATGTGACTGAACTCCTCTCAAACGACTGGACCGATTTTGATGAAATTTTTTGTGTGTGTTCAAGGGGATCTGGGAATGGTTTAGATTCACAAATCAGCCCGGCAGATGGCACTGCAGTCGGTACTTTCATACTTTGCTTAATATCCTAATCGCTTTAAATATCATGCAGGACAACGTCTGTGGGGTCCACTAGTATCTTATAAAGTTTGATTTACACTGGCCTGTATTGCAATTGTTAGCCATTACATTACGAGTAGTTTTTATCTAGAAAAGAAAGGATATGAAATGTGCTTTTACTAGAGTAGCAGTACAATTGGTAATTCGGAAGTAGAAAGAGCGGTGTCAAGTAGCAGGCATCAAAAGATGCGATAAGAAAATGCTCGTAACTGCCATAGGTCAGGACATATTTATTTCACTGATATTTTTGTGACACACCGGCCCATTTATATCTGCTTTATCGGTTAGTTACGTTTAAAACGTTTATCAAATCCGTACATTTCAGAATCTTAAATTCTGACTGAGCCAGCGTTTATTGTGGTGCTGGTGGTGGCACCGCTGGGGTTCGAATACCCGTTTCCAGGGTTGATTCAAATTGTATTTGAATCAACTATTATTAATATATATTTCAAAAGTATTTGGCTATATATTAATAATAGTTGAAAAACGACTTTCATAATTTTGTATAGGACGACTAAATCATAAATGCATTATATATTCTCCACGCAACGCGTTTCAATCTTTAGCCGGATTTCCGGTTGTTTTGCAACAAAAACTCTCAACATGCGTCAAAATTGTTAAGAGTGCGTTGAGAGTTCCATATCGGAGGGATCGCAGATCAATCGTCACTCCCTATAGTCCGTACCTCCAGGATCAGGATCAAATTGGCATCAGTCAACTCCCGACTGCCGGAGGAAGCGCACGCGGTGAAAAAAAAGTAGCGCGAACTAATGCAGTGAACATTTTGTGTTATTAACGTGATATACGCAATACGAGTGCATTTAGAAGATTTACTACTGTTTTGTAAGTACATTTTCCCTATGTGGTACCTAGTTAATATCAGAAGCTAGAATGATAAATCTGAAGTCAATCGACACCTGTCGATTGTAGTGAATCAAGAGATTTTTGCGGGAGTAATGTGCTGTTGTACGTAGTTTGTACTTACCTTGTTTTGCAAGGATTTTAGTTCTTGTAATGTTAATAAATAGTAAATTAGTGCTCTTCTTTGTAGATAATATCATACATAATAAAATTAAATACTGTACATATTTTATTAAATTATTTATTAACTTCGTTGCGAGTATAGAGAAATATAGTATAATTAAATAAAAAGGAGAGCAACTGGCCTTACCGCTTTCAAACGATCTCTGTCAGGCAACGACACATTTTATATACTGAACTGAACTGAACGCAGCGCAAGTTAAGTTTAATCAGGATTCGAGAAAAATTACCCATAGGTACTGAATAATCTTCAAATCTTCTGTGGCATAAACAATTCTTTTACCAAGAAGTTTTATCCAAACATGATATAACATTAAATACAACAAAATCTGTAAATTATTAAACTTTATATGTCTTTCTGTCATTGTTTCTATTTTCTAAGAATACGATACTCGTGAGCACATATATGCGGCGTTGGTTAAATTAAATATGTTCGACGGTTATTGTGAAGGTATAAAAATCACCAAAACTAAAGACAGTCAGGTTTGTTTGAGGAAAATAATATCGTCTTAACAGGCATATTAAGAGGCCAACAGTCTGGTAACATATATTTTGCAGCATATCTATAAAAAGTTACACACTGAATTGATAACCTCCGTATTTTTTTTAAATCGGTTAAATTATTTCTGATGACTATCACGAAACTCAATGACTGAGTATATAATAACTGTACATTGATTTTTTTCCATTATTGTATTACGCAATAAGTTAATCATTTTCAGTGTTTTGAGTGACACTTTGTGTTTCGAATAATATAAACATTTAATTATAAATATGCTATCTTAAAATTACAATCATTACAATTTTCTATATTCATCAAGATTATTTAGATTGACAGAGGAAATTACTTCTCAAGAATACATTCATAGATTGGTCGTCGGAAAACCCTTATTCACGTGTCACTTCAAAAAATAGTCTGATAGACTTGTTCCGAATCATGGCGGATATATGATTTGCAGGATAAATCTACTTGACATTAATAGTCTATATTTATCTACTAATCATATATTATATACTTTTATATGTGCTTATAGTTTGACGAGGTTGGAAGTTTTGATTATGATTTATAAATGCATGTTTCTAGGTCATATTAATTATATCTTATAGTCAAGTAAATATGTAGATTTAATTTGTGTTTGTATAATAATTATTCGTTTTAGAATTGATTAACAATTTATTTTACGAATCAAAGTAAATTAAATTTAAGGTTTTATAATTGAGGTTCTTCAATTAGGATTTAAAAAATTTATATAATAAACTATAAAACTACTTTCATTAAATAATAATTAATTTTTTTACTTTGATATTTCAATATACATTTTAATTTCTATAACAGTCAGCTTTTTACTTGAAGAGTTAAAATGTATTCCAAATTAGACATTATTGAATAAAACACATACTTACAGAGATATTTCGCGTCGTCTAGGACGGAAGTGCTCGTTGTACAAATTACATTTGCCATGCTTTATCATCATTTGTTCATGTATAGTACTAGTACGAGCTTCGTCAAGAGGTTATTAACTTATTCATGACTTAGCAACGCCGCCTGCAATTATTGCCTTTACTCGAGTTTTTTATACATAAAGTATACTTTTTTTTTAATATTTCTGATGATTTGTTAATCTGTAATGATCTGGCTTTAAGTTTAGCCATGATCATTGTCCTCATAAATAATTATATATACAACGACTGTACAAAGTAATGCCAACTTTAAAATACTAACAACCAAAATTTTAAGAGCAGAGAAGTTTGTAAAAGCCAAGTTTCAATATTTAAGTCAATGATAATTTATTAATTTCTTTACTATGTATAGTGGAATTGTATATTACATAGTCCCAGAATATATTGTTTCGTTAAAAATATTTACATTATAATGTGTAGGTATAATCCTATAGTAGGTATTTAAATTTCAATACCCTCACCTTTTGTATATTTAAATCCGTATCATAGGACCAAAAAGCAATACCATAGGTAATTTCAATAAGAAGGCTCGTGATCTCCTAAATCTTTTGGATTTAGGTTTATTTAAATAGACAAGAGAGTTAACTTAACTTATATAATAGTACATAATTTAGAAACGTAATTTTATTTGCACAAGGTTGGTACATAGGTAGAAGGTGCATGGATCCCGTAGATATAGACAAGTAATGTTTATAGAGGAGAAATTTGAAGGAAGAATTAATAGGAGAAGGTCGCGTTTAGGAGCGAATTGTCTAAAGAGTGAGTTCTATAGTCTATAGTTATAAAAATTAATCTACGTTTTGCACTCAAAAGAAAGATTATCCACCGCCCAATATTAAATTAAATCAGTGATTGATTAAAAATTAACTACATATTAATGAAACAATTTTAAAGTTTATTTTTTACTGTTTACAGAGATGAATATCGTAGATGAAACAAAAATAATTTTAGCTGTATGACAAAGATTTTCAAAGTATTATATTGTTAATGTTTTATTGTACTCATCTAATCCCTTATGTAGGTCGATGGGTCTTAAGAAACGGAACAAGTAGAGATTATGAAATGAAAGCCTTTTGGTACCAGATCTAGAATGATTCATGCAAACTCTCAAACAAAAGGAAATGTCTATTTCTAAATCTAACATATTTCCCCGTAATCAAAACTGCAGCAACATGGTAGCTAAAGTAATATTGTAGAGGTAATATTTATGAATTTAGATGTAGTTATTGTATTCATATTTTAAAACAATGAAACGGTGATGGTTCATTAAAAACAGTTCTATAAAAATAAACCTTCATTTCTCTTTATGATAGTAAAGCAGCCTATATTTATGATTATTTCAAATCTGGAAACATAAACGCAACAATTTTACCTATTAACAATGTAGTATTAAATAAATTAAATCAAGGTCATTAACTGACCCATATTTCGGGAGTGCGAATCGCTGGCAACATCGAGTGTACACTTCCAGCCAGGTGACTATGCACTAGATTGGTGTGCGTGTGACCGAGGGGAGCGATCGGTTACACTAAATAAGATATCCGCGTCGGCATCCGCACGGGGAGACTCCCACGTGTTGTTAATGGATAGTGAATTTTGTGCAACTTTGCCAAATTGGCAAGATTTGTACTGGCACCCCCGAGTGCATCTCATGAAAGTAAGCGTTTATCCGTGAACTTTATTTAGCTCTTGTACTAGAGTAATACATTGGTAGATTTTTTGCTCAAGACAATACTTTTGGACTACCAAAAAAATATTTCTGTAGGCGATCAAGGAGTAATGGTTACACAATAGATCTACATAGATCTCATGTGAAAATATCTTAGAACCCATCATATGATTCTGAACTAAAATTCAAGATTATTATTTGTAAATTGTAATAAACTGAAACTTATGAAAGTTATGTACTTTAATCATTTTTTTATATACCAACATCAGTGTAAAAATTTAATGGTACAGACCTGGAAAAAATGCGAATAATATAAAACTTGTTATGAAAAATACGTGCTGTATTTTGGTAATTCTCTGTTTCAATAGTCTCAAACTGTTAAACTTCTTGTCTAACTAATCTTATTCGTCGTCGCCTTACATTGGCATCAATGTATTATCAAAACATAATGTTTTAATGTCAGGTAGTGGGCAATTTTCCAACTGCCGAGCTATAATTATTAATTGTGCTAGAGTCACTACAGGTCACATACTTGTCAAGTGCATCATCATAATATCATGTAACAGGGTTTTCTAATATGTTTATTATGAAATACACAGAAAGTATTTTTTTTATATGTATTTACAATATTCTTAACCTACATAGTATCAATAATAATAATTAAAAATTGATAAATAGAAAACTAAAATAAAATAAAAAGTTTGGTCCCTGAAGTTTGCACCTTTAATGCTGGCAGCATTTCCCCGCTGTATTGCGATACTTATTGGTTGAGCGGAGAAAGCCCCAGCTCTGGGGTCACTGGTACTATCTACCAGGCGCCTACTTAAATCTTTAATTGGCGAATGTGAAATTGTACCCCACGGCCCAAGAGTCTAGTCTAGTCTACTCCAAAGGGAACAAAAATAAAGTTGGAGTAAAGACTCTTATATTTGAGCCATTTACTATTTTCCGCCTGCTCTGCGGCCGCGTCAGCCCTGCGATTCTATAACTCACTTTTCGAACTCACACAGCGGTTTTCGGATCGCCGGTCGCTCTCAAATCAGTCGTGAAGCAGTCATTTTATGATTTGGCATTCAAATAAACAATAAACTACAAGCTTCCACGTTTTCAGAATGCCAAATCATAAAATGACTGCTTCACGACTGATTTGAGAGCGACCGGCGATCCGAAAACCGCTGTGTGAGTTCGAAAAGTGAGTTATAGAATCGCAGGGCTGCTCTTACGAGGGAGGTGAGACGAGGCTAATGTCTCCACACAAGTAGCATCTCATACTAAGCCCGTCCTATTATCCAAGGGATCAATGACATGTTTGACAGACATTATTGTCTCTAGCGATACATTAATCAATAAAGCTTTTTATAAATTTGACGAATATTTAAATGATCCTAATCCTTGGGAATGATTTGCTCCAGTTCAAACAATTTGTTTGACTCAAAACTTAGCGATTAAAAAAAATGGCGGAGAGTTTCTTGCCAGTTCTTCTTGTCCGCTCTGAGCCATGGACTTGCTAACTGGTAGTAAATTTAAATTTAGAATTAATTTACTTTCTGACGTTCATAAGTGTACTTGAATACCTATATGAATAAAGTTGTCTTATTGCTACGAGAAGATAGATTATTAAAATAGGCTTAAGCTTAATAATTTAGAGATTATACCATGTTCTTCATTCTCTAATGGAAGGTAGTTTTCTAGGTACTAGTCACTTGTTCAAATATATGATTATAGTTATTCAACTCACTATTAGGGATAATTAAATAGATGACCAAATTAGTAAGACTGTCGCCTAAAAATCATTATACGACCAAACTATCATTATTAGATCTCAATTAAATATTTCTTTACATTAATGAAAGTAGCATAACATAGTATTGTCTTTGATTAACATAACCTTTACACATTTAAAGAAAAACGCTTTTTACCGGATTAAAGTTATGTTTATTATTATAAATTTACAACTATTTGACACGCACGCTGACACCACGCACGCTGTAAAGCACGCGAAACGTCGGATAAATTTAAAATTATGTCAAATAGTTGTAAATTTATAATAATAAACATAACTTTAATCCGGTAAAAAGCGTTTTTCTTTAAGTAGCATAACATGATTTTTATTTCCAGAACCGGTGTCAAAGATGCCGCTCCAGATAAGAAGAGAGGGCGTGGTCTCCTTCCTCCGGGAGAACCTTCTCACGTTACTGACAATCATTGGAGTTGTGGCTGGAACTCTTCTCGGTTGGGGATTGAGAGCTACTGGGTATGAATGGACACGACGAGAGGTTATGTACTTCCAATACCCTGGAGAGCTGTTTCTCAGGATGCTGAAATGCCTGATTGTGCCTCTGCTGGTTTCATCGATTGTGTCTGCTATCGGGTCATTGGATCTTAGCCTATCGGGCAAGTAAGTTCTGTTTGCATAGATTTTACATCCGCATACTTTTCACATTTGAGTACCAGTCCGGATTTGGGATTCTGGGGCAGATTTATGTTAAACCCTTGATTCATCAAGAGAGTTCATAGCATAATACATCAGCTCTACAGAAGCTTATGGAATTCTACTCTTTAACGTTCCAGAGTTGGTCTGCGGGCGATCATCTACTACATGACAACGACATTCTGCGCAGTGGTGCTAGGAATAGCGCTCGTCACCACGATCAAACCTGGGCAAGACCCTGATTCTTTACCTGCTACCACGAAAGTAATTTCCAAGGATACACTGACGGCTGACAGTATTCTTGATTTAATACGGTATGTACGGCTATTACTAACTATAATAGGTTTTAACTATCAGAATAGTTTTCTATGATATGGGATGCGGATGATTTCGAATGCGCTGCTTTCTGCCGTAATACCTCGACGATTTGACGAATGTTTGTTCACGATTATTAAAGGCATTTTATAAATATTACTATTAGTCGACGACCAATCTCTTTCCGATCGGCTTGATCCCGTAGCGATGTTGGGGTATTTGTGCATCTTCTACCGCATTTACCATGAGAGTGTTCAGAGGCGTTGTTCGGACTGATATCTGTTACTGAGTTTCACCATCGCACGTCGCGGCAGAATACGAAATTCCACCCGTATCACCTCAACGCTCCACAACTGAGCATTTCTTAAGGCAGTTTTTGCCGCGCACCAACACTAGCTGCCCACTGAAGTATTTCCGTACCAATTCTTAAAAGGCTAGAGAGAGAGAGTCCATAGGCGGCGGTATCACTTAACATCAGATGAGCCTACTGCCCGTTTGCCCCCTGTTCTATAAAAAATTACTTATCAATGTGAAAAACATTAGTGTTCACTCAAAGATCACGTATGGTAGTAAATCGACTCGCGTATAATCCTCATTTAAACACGTCAATTGACCAGATGAAATTTCATACTCAATCTATTTATCATTTGTGCCTCTTTTAAATTGTGTACGTACATTTTAATAATGAAATCAAAAACTATTATACCCACCGTTTATGTATTATAAAACTAAAAAATATCTTCTTCTTCTTCGGCGATTGCCTCTTCATCAGTGGAAAATTTTTGTCCAACAAGCATTATCTTGAGATCAGAGAGCAAGAAAAAGTCGCTGGGCAAATTTTGAGAATATAATGGATGCGAAAGTAATATGAATGGGAATGGGAATTCCAATCATGGAATATTACCATCGTTTTCATTGATTTGTGAAAAATCACTTTCTTTTGAAATTGTTTTTTAGTATATATCCTTATATAGTAATATATAAGGATTCTTATCCTTGTGATAGCTGAATCGAGTCTATAAATAGCAAAGCCAGAGGCATGCATCATTATTTATGTTGTCAGTTTATTGTGTTAGTAAGTCGTCAGGTGACAACAAGTTAAAGATTAGCCTCAAGGGGATCTTTATTGGATGACGACCTGCACCAATTTGCTTCACAGTCTCTAGGGACATTTTTGGCTTCATATTAATAGCGCGGTCGTTCTCTTAAAGTATTATAAAATCCTATATTTTAATTTAATTTTAATAAGACAGCTGTAGCAGATGTAATTTGAAGCCATAGATTTGTTGTAGGTACGTAAGATAAGGTAGAAGTTAAAGTAATAATATTATATTCTTTATTTATTTATTTACTAACACTTCGTTGCATATACATTAATATAGTACACTTGACATAATTAAATAAAAAGGAGAGCAACTGGCGGCCTTATCGCTTTCGAGCGATCTCTTGTGAGAAAAAAAAAAGTATTAAATTATATAAGATAGGCAAGAAGTGCAAAAATACATGTTTATATAGGTATAATTATTATATATATAATAATATTTGTCATATAATTCATATTCAAATGTAATTAAAAAAATATATATGATTTTTTGTTGCTTTTATCGCACGTATAAACATGACAACCAGTGGCGCTACCATTTATAAGTCATGGACCATGGTCTTACATTTATTATATTATATTCTTAGTCGGCTCATTGGCCCCTGACTGCGATTCCATGGGTCCCGGGTTCGATCCCCGGCTGAGACAAACATCGATGTGATGAGCATTTGGTGTTGTGCTTAGGTCTTGGGTGTTTAAATATGTATTTATATGTCTATCTATCTATAATATGTATGTATATCCGTTGCCTAGTACCCATAACACAAGCTTCACCAGCTTAGCATGGGACTAGGTCAATTGATGTGAATTGTCCAATAAAAAAAATAAAAAAACATTTTAGCATCTACATAAAGGGTGAGATCTATAGTGCGATTGGACTTTGCTCAGACTTACCTTACGAAAAACTTTGCTTAGTGTACACTAAGGTTAAACTATGATTTCGTATTTATAGACATTTTAACGGTGAGATTAAGCTAAGCCCAAGCTAAGACAGCAAATTCAAAATACAAATTGATTTTCATTTCATGCAATACTTTGTTTATTATCTTTACAAAAGTAAACAATAACAAATATTTAAACATCTAAAACGGTACACATATATCTTCATTTATTGTTATTTATGTATTTATTTAATTTATAATTGCAATAACTAGAAATTTAGAGTAACCTTTAGAAAATGTATTAATTTAAAGATGGCAATAATTTTGTTACGTAGAACGGATCGATTGTTTTGGAACAGCAACAGAGAACTTGTATCAACAATTCAAAATTTCAAGATTTTTCACTTCTCTGTTTATGTTTGTTTGAGATATAAATATTTAATATTTATCAAAACAAGACTGGCTTTGTGATTGACCTGTACGATCCGTATACTACTTAAGACCTACTTTTGAAGGACTGTGAGTTTTGTGTTTTGGCTTTGATAGAATTTTCAATATAAAGTGACAATGGAGAATATAGAGAGTTCTAACTTCAATAGAAAACATTGAAAGGTTAGGAATGCAGGATTTAATCCCCTATGCCTAAGTATATGTTGAACGAATACACAAAATCCTTTCGCTTAATGAAATGAATTTAAAAGAAGGTAGTTTTTTTAAAAAGTATAAATGTATTGACTGATAATTACAAACTTACAACCTTTTAATAACAGAGGATTGCCAATTCTACCGCAATTGCAAATACTTATTGATTAAGGTTTTATGAACTGGATGTTTTCAGGTAATATTGTGTAAAATATTATTTTTTTATATAGAAGTATTTAGATTTAGTAGTGGGAGAATGTCCCATGCTATTTTTGTTGTTTAGGTACTATCGACAAATTGTCATTGATTCACTTACAGACAGCTATATTGATTTTGTTTTCTGAGGATCACCTCATTTCTAATTTGATCCTTCAGAGAAATACCAAGCATAGCTCTCCCCATTGCTCGCTTAACCAGTGTCAGTGATGTTTTTCACCATACATCATCATTGGAGGAAATGTTGAAGACATTTGTCTTCTGACTTTCAGAAGATAACATATATTAATAATAATTATTCCTTGAAATAAATGTTTTGATTTGAAAGATAAGCCAATCTTAGTGTGTTAATTATAAATAAATTTAAGTTGAGTAAATTACTTCCTAATTTGTGAAGTTTTCTGATGTATTGTGTATGATAGTGAGAGGGTTACTTTTAGTGGTGACCTAAACTGGTTTCCGTTAACCCAGCTTCATCAGTAGTTGGCTTGTTCGGTGATTTACAGATTAAGTGGGTTATACTGGAATTGCCCTTTTGGTCTCAGCTTTCACCGTCATTTCATAACAGTACGTACCAGCTATAAAATAAACAGTCTAATAAGTTATCATATAGGTATGTCTTTTATTGGTTAGAATAAATAACAGAGGTCAACTAATAAACCTTCAGAAGTCTGGTAGGGGTGAAAAATGTTTAATATTTGGGAGAGGCCTATGTTTAGAGTGATTATTGGTTGAAAATATAGAATTATATTTTGGGAAATATTTATTCTATTAGTTAATGTGTCAAGTCTATTGTAATCTATTGACGGATTATATGTGGATGATGAATCACTTGACTTATTGGATTGGGTGTGGTCTCCTTGTCCTCTTCTTTGGGTTAAGGGTTTGGATTAGCTTTTGTTATATTTTGACATCTTTTTAATTGTTTAAATAGCTAAAATAAAAAAAAATTTATAAATATAAAATTATATACAAACATAAAATTTTATAAACAAAATTTACACAAGTTAATTAGATTGTTTGGTTTGTATTATTTTATAACTATACTCTATTATATATCTATCTTTGTAATTATTAAATAATATTGATATTTATAGATATTATTTGGTGGATTAATAAAATTGAATTAGAGTTATTAAATTTATTGATTTTTTTTTTTTTGAGAAAGGGTCGTCTTCTGTTCTTAATCAATTTTGATGAACCAACTGTAAAGAGTTGTTCATATTGGTGGTTTGTTTTTTTATCATTTTTTTGTGAGGAGTGGTCTGAGTGAGAATAGGTGGTATCGTTTAAGAGGTAAAAATCCTTGAGAAGCAAGGTTCAGTAATAAAAGTAGAAGATTAGGTAATCGAAAATAAGTCAAGGATGTGAAGATTAGAGAACAAGTTGGTTTGTTATTTGAATTTTTTGTAATTTTTTTTTTTTTTTTAATTTATTTATTAGGGATAAAAGTCATTGGATTTTGTTTCAACATATGCAGTGTGAGGTGAAGATACGATATAACAGTTATTTATAAGATCTCTCAAAAATGTTAAATTATATAAATAATTAAATAAAAACAATAGATACCATAATAATGTTAATTATTTTATTTATGATTTATAGGTATAATAAGATCATTTATAATTTTTAATAAATTTATTTTTCCCAAAGTCTATAACTCATAAAAATGGAACACGTTATTAAAAACAAAAATAAAAAGTATAAAAATATGATGTAAAGAAATTTGGCCATTATTTTTGTTAGGTTATATAAGTTTTTGGTAATCGTCATTTGTGATTGAGATTAAGCTAAGCCAACATAGGGAGAATTATTTGCTCTATAAATAACTGTGTCTTAGCTCGATATTAAGTCAAAAAGTCTAATATATGTCTCACAAGTAGGTGCTCAACCGTCTGTGGTTATAAAATGCTTCACTATACCTGCGGTAATTGTTGTTGAAATCTATTGTTGCTTCGAACGCATGACGTTGGGTTTGAAAAGGCGAAGTATAATCATTGTACAAAAGAGCTAACACTGTTTTAAAGAAATAACAACTTGAAAATAATTGATTCCGCATTGAAACATAGATTAATCTAAAATCGACAGTGCTATAGCACTAAAGCAGACCACCTTTAGGAACATAATACAAATTCCGCGAGGCTGTTCTTGTATAAAGACATAGTATCGTTTTTGTAGAGTAGTTTATCTTAATAGAACCGGAAGGGACCTCAGGCCATTCATCGTGTGCGAGCAAGTGCGTTTAAAATATTTGCCCTTCGAACTCACGACTAGGTGCTGATTCCTTTATTACTATAGTAATAGTGGCCCTACACGTTTATAATCTATGATAAATGTTCTTGTCATAAAGACTGATGAAAACATTTCGAACAATATTAGCATACCGTGTAAAACTGTTGTAGATGTTTTTAATATTAAAGACACGTGTTTATCAGCACCTTACTTGGTGAAAGGTATAGGAGGATAAGTAAAGATAGGGGCTAAGGCAGTGGCGTAACTATACCATCTCGGGCCCGTGGCAAATTCTTTTGATGGGGCCCTATCAGTAAAAATCGTCACTTTGTACTCAGTTTAATGTTAATAAACTTTGAGATTTTCAGAGTACTCAATTACACGTTGTATACGAGTATGTCTCATTAATGGCCATATCCCTCCTCTCATAGGCGAGAAGGAATGGTCTGTAGTCCTCACGCTAGCCCAATGCGTATTGGAGACTTCACATTCATGCATAGAACATAATATCTCTTGGGCAGGGGCCCTCTTGGGTCGGGGGTCCGTGGCATTTTGCCAGCCCTTCCACCCTATTGTTAGGCCACTAGGCTAAGGTGGTAAGTCACGCCTGCCTAAAATATGTCTATTTAGCTGAGTGATTATCAGTATGGCTTTCGTCGAAGACACTTTTTAAGGCCACAGCCAGAATCGGAATGCGGGGGAATGGCTAAACTAGCCTCCAAGAAGCAGGTATGCCGCCCACCATGATGTGGTGCCCACTGAAGTATTTCCGAACTAATTCGACGAAGGACCCTAAGTCCTTAAAGAAAAGAGTGTAAAAGTTCTTAAAAGGCTGGCAACGCACTCGCGAGCCCTCCGGCATTGAGAGTGTCCATGGGCGGCGGTATAAAATCTGGTGTGACTCCTGCCCGTTTGCCCCCTGGTCTATAAAAAAAAATTATCTTGTCTTGAAAAGTGCCATGTTATATTTTTTCTGAAAAAAAAAACAGAGTTCTATTTCTTAACCTTTAATTATATAGTTACTGCGGTTGTGGCTGCGTAAACTGTTCGCCACTCTTTTCAATCATCAAGGTCTTTTGTTTAAAAAAATATATAGATAGCTAGAACACACCATGCTTCATATGATATCTCGAAGCAAATAAACAATTATAATAATAAAAAGTCTTATTGTTTGTTTTTGTTTTTAATTTATTTTATTATTATTAATTACTTATGATGTCATGTGGAACATGGTGTAATGGTTGCAGCTCTTTACAAACGTTGTGTAAAACATAAACATAGCGATTAAAAAGAGTGGCTGAGAGCTTATTACCAGTTCTCCTCTTCCGTTCTACGCCCTTGATTTGAGAACTGGCACTAATTGTAAAATTAGAAGCATTTCATTAAAGTATATTTCTTTTTTGTCGTTCATAAGTGTACATTGTGTTACCTATATGAATAAATGATTTTTGACTTGTGACTTATGATTCAATTAATGATTTGTCATATCGTGAAATGCTTGTAATTAATCAGTATAACTCCGATGTAAGCTCAATTTGCAAACGATCGGACCACAACATAACATAATTAAAACATCTCAGCGTTCACGGCGAGTTAATGTTAATGCGAGTTTAATTTGCTTTATTTTCAGAAACGTTTTCCCCGAAAACATAGTTGAAGCTACCATTGCCTCATATCGCACGAAGCTCACCTACGATGTGAATGACACGAGAGCAATTAAAGGTAAGTGCTATAAATTAAGTAACGATCAAATCAATACAAAAAAATCAGTGGCGCTACTACCTCTTTAGATCTTGGCCTCAGATTTCTGAATCGGTTTCATGATCATTTTTAAATCTAATAGGCAAGTAGGTGATCAGCCTGCACTGCCAGACACACGCCGTCGACTTTTTGGGTCTAAAAATGTCGACGTTTTCTTTCACCGTTCGAGCAAATGTTAAATGCGCACATAGAAAGATAGTACATTGGTGCACATCCGGGGATCGAACCTACGACCTCAGGTATGAGAGGTTGAAGCCACTAGGCCAACACTGCTCTGATCAAATCAATAAGCACTTGATATAATAACATTCTAAATAAAAGTCGATCGTTATTATTTCTTCATAGTTTAAAATGTTTACGTGTCGTTACGTATCGAAATTTGACGATATGGGGCTTCAAACAGTAATTTAGTCATATAGAAAATTGGAAAATTTAAAGTTCAAAGCACCTGTGTAAAGTGCATCTTACATTTAAGTCGTCTGAAAGCTCACTCATGTCGACTCAAGTTCCAAATGGTCAATGTAGATTGTAGGAGTTAATGATCCTTTTCAGCCTCCTTTTCTTGAGAAATGTGGAGGCTTTTAAGGAATGCTATGTATGTAGCGAAATGTGTGGATATAGGATTAATGTCAAATCATTTTGAAATAATTACGTACTTAACTAGTTCGATAAGATAGGAAAATATCGCTTGCCCCTGCATTTAAACAACGTTTAAATCGTCGAATAGGAAATTATAAGCTTTCATTTGATAAATTGAAATATACATTTGGTATATTGTATATGTACTTAGTATCCTAGTAATAATAGCAGTACCTTCTTTTATTTTCCTGAAAAAAAAATCGATTTTGCTTTTACGACCATGTTCCCCGGGGCAAGCGATATTTTAAGTTTTCTCATGTAGGTGATAATTTGTTTTCTTTTTTAGAAATACAATCTTTAAACCTTTATTAGAATTTTTTTAACCAATAACTGGCGCAATTGGTTGACAATACCACGAAATCTATTAAAAACCTACCTTACCACTTTGATTATATATTTTTTATTTATTTCCAGGTCAACTGGAAACCTACAAAATAGAGAATTACTACCAGAAAGGCAGTAATGTCTTAGGTCTGGTGGCGTTCAGTATAGTGCTGGGCATCACTCTTGGTAAAATGGGAGAGAAGAGTCGACCGCTGCAAAATTTCTTCCACACCCTCTCGGAGGCCATGATGATAATTACCGGATGGGTTATTTGGTAAGAATCATTAATCGCTCACCGTTAATCAGAACCTACTACTGTTAAAGTAAATAATTATATATACCTTCAGTTCGGTATTCGTAATAAATAACTTATTTTTTAAATCTTTTCCTTTTATATTTTAGGTTTATTGTTTCTATATTGATATGGACGAATTGAGAATTTTGAAACTGTAGCTGATAATAGCTGTCTGTTCTTTTTCGTAGTCATACTATTTGCAGTAATTTTTTCAACTGTTCAAGTTTACTTTTAGGGCGAGCCTTCAACCTTTTGTTCCAATCCGTTACTATCTACCTACCGTCATATACAGGGTGTCCCAAAAGTCGACGTCAAGTCGAAATTTTCTCATAGGTAATGCCACACCAGTTATCAGAAAAATTAAAAAAAAAAAATTAAGTCATGTATTTTTGAAGTTATGGAAATTTTCCTTTTATTCCAGAAAATGTACACCATGTGACAGTTTTTTCATTCCTGTTGTTACAAATATTTACTTTTTGCCAAATTTTTTTCTCTTACGTCATCCCGAATAGAATAGTGTATGTTTATAAAAAGAGATTTTACTTAAGTTACACTACTGTACTTTTAGAAGTACTAATCTCACACTTTATTTAATAGTTTCGATGATATTTAATCAAGAATATATTTAGTTATTAAGCTTACGACATCACACAAAGTACTAAATCTACTAATTATTTTACAAAACCTTACATCTAAAATGTGTGACAATTAAAGTAAACATAAGTTTCACGAAAAAAAGAAATATAAATTAAAAAATACAACTAAAACATATACAAGATAATACAAGCGCACAATAAAATTAGTAGATTATTAGTTGATTATTATGTTTACAGGCTCTCACCCCTCGGAGTGTTCTTCCTTGTGACAGCGAAGATCATGGAAATCGAGTCATTCTCTGACCTCGTGGGGAGACTTGGTCTCTACTTTATGACGGTGTTACTGGGTCTCTTCCTTCACGGTTTTGGGACTTTGAGTATTCTCTTCGTGCTAGCCACAAAGAAGCTGCCTTGCAGATATATTGCGAAGATGGGACAAGTTATGGCCACTGCGTTTGGAACTGCATCAAGGTAGTTTTTATACTAGAAACAATTTAAAGGTTACAACGTTTAAGTTTTAAAATGATTTTTAATATAATTTTAAATTAAATTAACTAACACCTAAGTTGTCGTTAAACTTTAATAAAAAGATTTTTTTGAGGAATTGGGATAACTTGTTTGTAATTGGTCTATTATAGTGTTTCCCAACCTTTTTTGTGCTATGGCCCCACCTTAGCCATTAAAAAAATCTTATGAAATGTAACATACATTAGTTTTAAATAATAATTAAATTATTAAAAAAAAAATGTTCACATAAGAAACTTATGATAGGACATTTAGGAAGAAATCATTATTAAATTGTTACGAAACACAGTGAGTAAATTTTCAAAACAACGAAAAACTGAAATTCAAATTCCAAACAATTTTAATACATTTTTGAATAGCCCCGCTTAACAAAGAAATTGCCCCTCTGTGGGGTGTGGGCCCCACGTTGGGAAACACTGGTCTATTACCTCCTTCAACATCTTTTGATATTTCAAGACCTTAACATACAACAACACCATTCTCCAGAGCCTGGCTCTCTATTTAAAGTCATGCCAACATGTTAAGTACGTTAATAACTATAAATCTTCATTCGTAAACATCAACTTGAACGAAATGTTAAAAAAAAACGCACCTTGGAAAACAAAAAAATCAACCAGATTTAATCTTTTCTGATTATGTTTCCAAAATACATTTTCAAGTGAGAACTGGCGTAACTCTACACTATAATAATCGAGTATCTGAAGTTTAGCAAATGGTTTGAATCTATCGACAATTCTTATTTCGCTTATTCTGACGAATCATTCAAAAGTCAGAATCATTTATTCATATAGGTAACACAATGTACACTTATGAACGTCAAAAAATAATTATACATTAAATGCTTCTAATTTTACATTTACTGCCAGTTCTTAAATCAAGGGCGTAGAACGGAAGAGAAAAACTGGAAATAAACTCTCCGCCACTCTTTTTAATCGCCAATTCATTAATGAATATTTTCAGTTCAGCAACAATGCCAATAACGATAGGCTGCTGTGATGATATGGGTCTGGACCCGCGCATCACACGCTTCGTGATCCCTATCGGAGCCACCATTAACATGGATGGCACGGCGCTATATGAGGCCGTCGCTGCAATATTTATCGCACAACTCAGGAAAATCGATATGTCATTCGGCAAGATTGTAGCCGTCAGGTACGTGTCATATTATAAATATCAACCTCGAGGCTGTATATTTTTTATCCCTGCAAAAAAACGTGTACTTATGTACACGCGTTAGAAGTTGTACTTCTTTGTCGTAACAATAAAAATCTTTTCAAAAGTTATATTCTACGTAAAAAAAAACACTAACATTAGAAAAAACTAAAATGTTGACGATAGCTAACTTCAGGGTGTCATCGTAAAAATTAACTCACATCATTTTTCCCTACCGCGCCTAAAGATGTTTAACTTCAATAAATGTATGACAACATTAAACGGCACAGACCAGCAATCATAGATATTATTTAAAAGCAAAACAAAAAAGAAAGTATTGGTCTGAGACGTGTGTAAACTTATTATAAAAGCTGTTTAAGAGTATACAAATTATTAATCAGTGTTTTTCTGCCTTCGTATTGAAGTAATTTCTTGAGGTGAATTGAGAAACCGGACCTTAGTCAAAATTATCTGCTGCAAAAAATTGGGAATGACTCTAATAAAAATAAATGTTTTGCTTTGTATCTAATTTTTATCAGTGAAAGTCTTTGTGGATATATCCAATGTGTTAATTTTACTTTATATTTTATAGAGATGTATCTGTTTTGTTCCCTAAATAAATAAATAAAAAAGTGAGTGCGTACAAAGTACACATGTCAGAAGTGAAACTTCTTTATAAATTAATTATTGAGTAATTAAACTGCCCAAATCCCATAATTTAATTTTGCCAGTCTTTCTATATTAATGAATAATACTAAAGCTAATTAAAACCCAGAACTAAAATTAGTTGTTGTTATGTAAATAGAAATACCACCATAAATATGGTAACAATTACCAAATAATATAACAAATGATTATTATCATAATTGCTAACTTATGTCCACATTTTCTAAAATAGCAAACTGGGTCTTAGAAAAAAAGGTCTTGGTTCTGTGCTCTTATAAAAATACAAAATGAACAAAAAAATGGTAATTTAGTTACTTAATAAAATAATAATGATATTGATATGTATTAAAAACACCATCAGTATTCAAGTCTCGGTCGCTCTCTCCCTTATATTCGACAAAAACGCTGCACATATTCGTGACGTTCCGTAAAAATTTTACGCTCATGCGCCTAAAGAAGTTTCATTTCAATAAATAAATAAAAAATAATTTAAAAAGGCTTTAGTATTGTTAAGAAAATTGTGAACTTGTGTATATTTTGTAGTATAACGGCAACAGCGGCTAGTATAGGCGCGGCTGGAATCCCGCAGGCAGGCCTCGTTACCATGGTGATGGTGTTGGATACCGTTGGCCTTCCAGCTGAAGACATCTCTCTTATTTTTGCAGTTGATTGGCTATTGTAAGTAATTTTTAAGTGATTAAACACTGTGGCTTCTCAGTTTAATTCACGTTAAACTAATAGAGTTATGGACTGCGAGGCCCAAAGTTTTACACTAATCTCCTCTAAGCTTGGATTATAAAATAATTATTAGATTATATAAATAATGAAGGTTATTGTTACATTGTGATTGATCAAACGTATATCGTTTTTTTGAACTGGATATGTTGAGCGCATCTTTTTATTATTTCCTAGGCATTTGATATTAACAGTCAGCCTATGATAAATAATTTTAAAACTTCTTACACTACTTCTCCTGCCCAGTTATTTATTATGAAATATTATAGGTTCTATTAACAAAAAATCTCTTAATTACAGAGATCGATTCCGAACAACAATCAACGTGGTGTGCGACGCTTTGGGCGCTATTATTGTAGCGTCACTATCTCAAGCAGACATAGAAAAATGTCGTGCGCAAAGCGAAAGGGAAGGACCCGGACACGAGCTCAGCGATCTTGAAAAGGGCGAACATTAACAAACTTTTTGTAACGTCCATAGTGATATTTCCCACAAAATAATGACCAAAAGAAAATAAATAAATATTATAAATCCAATAATAAAACTTGATTTAAAGTAATTTAAGTATCATCAAAAGAGCAGACGATTGATATTGGCAATTTAATAAACACTGTTATGCAAGGAAATATATTAGGTCCCTTAAGTATTCAGTTGTTATTCAATGTGGCTACAATAGTCTAAATATATTGTGCGTCACATTCTCCATTTGGGAAGTTCAAGCAATATTGTTAAAACCAAGTGAAGACAAATAAAGGCATTGTTCATTGCAATTAGAACATTAAGATTTGTTTAGTTCCAGCGGATATTACATACATAGACATACTTGGCCCTAAGTTACGCCGTAATAGTCGTCTCAATGTTGATCATAATAGGTATTCACAGAATTGTTATTTTCAATTTTAATTCTTGGATTATTATTTGTTAATTTGCTTTTAATGGAATCGTTATTTTTTTAGTAATTCTGTTTCCGATTTAAGTTTTATTAATTATTTTCAAGTATGAACATATCATAAAAATATTGTTTAATAATCGGCTCTTTATTTTGTTTAATTGATTTAAGGTCAAGTATTATTAGAACTTAGAAGTAGAAATGGCTTGCAATTTGATTGTATGAGATTTTCAACTCTAAATATACTATTACTAAAATCTATTTTCATAAATATTTTTCCATATTCCGACTTGTGAATAATTATATTAGTATATTCACTTATCTTTGTGTGAATGTATTTATTTGTGCGCCTGGTAAGTACATTTTATTAGGTAAGAATTATGTATACTGTACCAAACACTAGCTGTAAATTAGACGATAGTAATTGAAATTTGCAGTTGCATTCCATTTTATATTAGCCCGGATATTATTTCCCGGAACGTAAAAAGATATATGTATAATCATAATAATTAGGTTTAATCTAGAATAGGAATATACCGCACAGTGAAAACATATAGTATAGCTAAGATTAACTGACCGATTTCATTACGCAACAATTTACTTTTTCCAAACCAGCCAGTATCTTTATCGCCAACAAAACCCACCAAGAAGGTTACATACCTATCCAAATTGCAATTATGGCTATTATGATTGTCATTAATTGTCAAATTACCGCAGAAAATATGATTTTTTTGTATACGTAACATGATAATGTATAAAAGTGTATGTTATGTTTTCTACGTGTGATGTTTAATTATGTGCCAAAATCAATGTTTTATGTATTTTAAATACAATAATGTTTTAACATATATCTAGTCCATTTTGGAGATTCATTTTGTTCACCATTACGGTAATTTGTGCTTAGCACGATTATGTTGGTTAAATTATCAATGTTGAGTCATGAATGCAGATATATTGATGTAATTGTTAATGTTTATTAATAAATAGTTAGATATATGAATTCTAAGTCTTTTATTTTTAGGTTAACAGGGTCTTTATATTCAGACCTCTTGGCTAGACCCACGGTCAATCAAATAAATACACAGATATACTAATTACTAGACACAATATCTAATCTGCACTGCGTCTATGACTTAATTCTCACCGCACATGAAGAGTCTTTACTTGGAAAGAAATATGGTCAATGAAGCATAAAACTTCTCACGCACAAACAGGCCGGTTTTTACATTTTAGATGTGTCTTATCAAATTCTAAATTTATGTTAGTTCATAGAACTTCATAAGAAGTGGAATGGAGAAATGCTGCAGACATATAATTCGCTAAAAGTAACCAATGGTCTTATGAATTACATTAACTTAAAAGAATTAAGCCAAAAACATTTCATATCATATTTACAAAGGATGGAGATTTAAATAAAAACAAGTTTTCAAATTAGATTTATTTAAACTAAACTGTAAAATATTTTTACGATTTATAACTTTTATAGCCTCACAGCCGATAATAACATAGTTACTTATAATAAACTTGACTAACAGTTATACTTAATTACCACTTTCCACTCTCTTGGAACTTTGTCAGTCTGTTACATAAAAATATATCTCATTTTATAGGAATGTATTGAGTATTTTTGGTAATAGTAGTAATTAGTGTAGATAAGATGTATTTAACAATGAACTAACCATAGACTCAACATGTCAGCCCTACTTAGCCATTAAATAAGTTATCTTTAACGGCAGATTAAAAATTATAATGTCTGGATAATCTGTGGTACAGCTACGAGAGATAAAACCAAACCTATTCATAATGAAAAATGTTTGCTTCTAGTATCTGTAGTGATTGTTAAAATGTATATTGTGATATTGAAACTCTTGGTTCAATATCGACTCAACTTTAGTCATAATTAATGAATGAAGTACGGCTGTAAATAAAAAAAGTAACAGGAATGAGTCTGTTACATTATTATTAATATTCGTTTATATACATAGAGGCCTGAATTCACTAAAAAGGCACATTGGTATAACATATATACACAAAACTTACAATAGACTTGTTCCACAACATATACTTTAAAGCTCTCAAATCATATTGTTGATTTACATTCATGTTTGAAGTGTGTAAAGTCTATCTATTTACAATAATGAATATTTTGTATTATTGACTAAAGCATGCTACTTAGTACAAGTTATTGGTTGCAACAAATTTCGTAATGAAGTTCTCGGCAAATAACTTGGCCATTTTTAGGATTATTCCGACTAAAAATTCGTACTCGACCTCCCCAACATCTAAGATTTCCAATTAGAGAATTACCGAGAACGACACAGAGTGTACTTAAACTGTTTCCGAAAAGCAAAACCAGGAGCTCAGTTCAAAAATTCATTACAAGAAATACGTGATATTTTAAACGAATGCGTTCTGCGTTTGCTAGAGGTTATTTATTTCAAAATAAATCGTAACATGATTTTGATTTACTTTCTATGCAATCTTTTATCAATCTTAAAAATGATATAAGTTTTCAATAATATATTTACACTATGTATATAGTTTTAACATTAAACAACGCCATTTATCTGGTCATTGTTATTTATATGTTTCTGGGAGCCGTTTGGTATCACAAAACTCCGCGCGGAGTCTCGTCGGCTATGTCTATCGCTATGAAGTGAGTATCGGGCTCTGGCGAGGGTAGCAGCAGATATTTCCATGGAGTCACCGTGAGGGAATCGAGAACCTCGTCTCATGCAACCACCTCGATTACGGGCATGCTGAAAATAGAAATATTTCTCAATTATTTTATGTGAATGTGTGTAAATTTCAAGTCTGTGTGAAAAAGTGATAATATTTGTTAACTACTTGAGTGGTTAAATTTGTAACACAGTTGGTGTCTTCAATAAATTAAAGGAGAGAGGCCGGGTTCTTACCTACGTATCTCTAAAGTGACAGGCAAATAGCATTTGGAATTGTTACTCACAGGGCCGCTTCGCCAAGTCCAGCGGTTTCTATTAAACACACCATAGACAATAGGGTTCGCGCACGAATTTGTACAGGAAAATAACCACATGGCTTTCTGGAATGCTGGATCCAGGTGGTTTACTATATCTTTATCTATCCAATACCTGAAAAAAACGAACGAAAAATTAAATAATCTTCTGTCTGTGAACCTGAAAGTAGTTGACGTGGATTAAAAGTACCAACCACAAGCAATAGCAGTAGTATGGCGACCAACAAGTGAAGAATACAAGTACGATTGTAACAGACATCTTAAGTGTACGCGCTCTGGCCCTTCCAAGAATTCCAACACCGCTGCGTCGCATTTTATCTGAAACATTTTAAATTAAGAAATAACAGCTAAGAATCAATCAGACTGAGAAATATAAAAAATATTTTAATAGATTTACGTGTTTCGGGAACGTAAAACAAAAGACGGCACGGTTTTTTGATTGTGATTGATCAAACGGAAGTTTGAACGTGTCACGAGTGATTGGACAAGAGATACTATTGACCAATTACAATTAAGCAAAACTCGCTGTAGCTTTATCTTCTCCCAGCCCTTAAAACATTTTGATTATATGGAATTAAATTTGATTTCTTGGCACTGTCAAAGACACGATGCTACGGAAATTAAAAATTGTAAACTAATGTACATAATGTATAAAAGGTACGAATAGATAAGAAAAGTGTACATATATTCTGAGCACGTCCCTATATTCAATTTAGTTATTATCGTTAGCAGACGCTTGTCTAAAAATTGATTTATTGATGTTCTTTGAGGTTTACGAAGTTGCTGCTTAGTATGGGTATGGCTTCTTTTCGCTTCTTCTTTGTTCGCTAATGACCCTTTTTATTCAAAAAGGTCTAAATTTAGGTATATACTCCTAATATATTTTAAAAGCTCTTCAAAAGCCTCAAAAATTAAAAAAAAATATAGGGACGAAAAGCTAATGTATTTTGAAACTGGCTTAGTAGAATTTAATTATTTTCGTCAAATGTACTATACTAATGTAACGGCTAGTATGGCTACGAAATTCAATGGCAGCGCATTATTGCCTGATTTATGGAAGCGTTGCAAAAACTTTTTTATCCTCAGTTTTATCAGCAAACAGAGTAAAAGGACTTAATAAACAGTAAATTTTTAAAAACTTCTTAGAGTTCGCCTGTTAGTACACAAAAGGCGTATCGCGAGGTAGCTAAAATATTATTGTCCATTGCTTTTTAACATTAAGTACACATTTCTATAAAACTTCTTTAATAAAAATAAACGAAAATTACATTATTAATTTAGCTTTTGAGTGCTTTACAATACGTCCTTACGTCTACTGTGAACGCCGCGTTTTGATAAAGACGTTTTATTTACGCAATTTACCTACCATTAGCTGTGTTAGCCCTGCGAATGATCTCCAATAAGGCGGCTGAAGAGCAGTACAGAGTAAAAAGCAGAGGAGCTACATACATGAGTGCCATGTTAAGAAGGAAGTAGGCAAACTCATGGCGTTCTGTTGGAAGAGATCCATATGTCACACATTGGTAATACCTGGAAAATTCCAAAATACCTATTACTTAGTCTATCAATTAATGTTATAACTCATTACTCTACTAGACTAATATATATGAATCATATTTAGCCTTAAAAAGAACTCAGAAAGCAGCAATTAACGAATAATAATAATAAATAGTTTGTTTGCAAAGAAAGTGGTATATTCAGATTGATTAATTATAAAAAACACATTCAGCTATATGAAAATGTCATATTAATTATGAACTATTTAAACAGCTCGTACTCCATTTTTTGATATTTAAATGTATTTTATTATGATAAATAAATATATCAGAATTTCTTTTTATTACGAATTATAAAGATTATAAGTTTTATCCAAACCATCTTGCCCTAAAAATGCCTCTGGACATTATATTTGTGAACAGCACAACTTACCCTTTGACATCAGGATGTTCCTCTAAATGGAATATAAAACTTTGTGGCAGGCTGGCTAATCCTGCGCATACCCAGGCGATGAGTAGGGCCCGACGCACCCGAGCTTCCCATGTTACATTCAGAGGTTTCAGTATGGCATAGTATCTATAAGAGACAAAATAATACAATTTATGGATTTATGGATATTTCTACCACACCTAAATATTAGACTAAAATAAATGTAAAATCGATTCGGTACTTTTGGGGAGAAGTGGCACAGGACTGGGAGCGGTGATAGTTCTACCCTAAGATGTGACTGAGATTCTTCTTGTGTATATAGATAAACAAAAATGCTGAATATATGCTTCAAATAATTTCTAAAAATAAACAATAAAATGAACAAAGAAAGAATACATCTTGGAATTAATTCAAAGTAAGAGATTTGTTCTTTATCTAAGGAAGCTTTTATGAAGATAATTGGTATTTACTTTGCTCAGCTGAAATGGCGAGGCTAAATTCCGGCGCAATCATTCATACTTATATTCTCGTGTTGACCCCGACTATAACTCCTGTTCGAATGACGGATTGATCCATTATAATATTTTGTATATGTACTGACTCACTTGCAGACCACTTAGGGAGTTGCGTATTACATTATATTTACTATGAATAAAAGATCTTTTATTTCGATTCGACATACACGTTTAAGGAAATATTTTTGTTACATAAGACTTGTGTAAATTGTCTCAACAAGTTAACATAATATATTTTTAGTAAATGAATCAGAAAACATTATAAAACTAAAGGCGCTACAACTTTTGAGGTCTGGGCTTCGGATTTCTATATCCGTTTCGTGATAGCTAATTTTTCCTAATAGGCAACACGTACCTTGTTTGCCTGACCCAAGCCGTCGACTTTTTGGAGCTAAAGCATGATTCCTCACGATGTTTTCCTTCACCGTACTAGCTAATGTTATATGCTCACACAGACACAAAGTCCATCGATACACAGCTGGGATTGAGTTGAGAATTGCACGATCTAGCCACTAGGCCAACGCTATTTAAATGATAGTTGCGTAAAGCAAACACAATATTTAGTCTTACCTATCAATAGCGATACATATGAGTACGAAACTGGAGAGGTACAGCCCGAATGTTCTCGTAAACATCATGAAGCGGCACATAATGTCTCCAGCAAGCCACTGCACGGTGCCAGCCCACGCGATCTCCAGTGGCATCATGAGGAATGTTACCTGCAGGTGTCCAGTTTAGCGTTACTGACTATATAAATTAATCGAAAATAAAACTTTTTAATCGGATTGTACCTGTTAAGAAAATTAAACTGATAGATGTAATATTTCGTGATCATGGATATATATTAGACAGAGACAGCCTTATTATTAAACCAAGTAAAAATAATAACCATAATCAAAATTAGACCTCGTTTTATATTAAAGCCAAATATGTAGACGGTCGGAAACTATTGTTAATTTTTTTAAAGATGTATTATATAACTAGTATATATTTTAAATTTACACATAGTCTATGGAAACCTACCATAAGGTCGGCAACAGCCAAATGCATCAGCAGGACATCCAGCCTGCTGGCTCTACCAGCTCTTCTTCTCTTAACAAGCTGCGACAACACTGTCAAGTTGCCAGTTGCTGATACCATCATCAGCACACTGTATACCGTAATTGAGACCATATGGCCATGATTGAAACGCATGTCTAAGGGCAACTCATCGCTGGTGTTGAGGTGCGTCCAGTTCTTCTGAGACGCACCGCCAGGACCTGATACCTTCTCGTCTATATCCATGATTATCTTTGACACGGTCTGAAGTTGTAAGTGCAAATCATTTTTGAGATCGGATGCATGTGGATGTATCTGTAACAAGCAAACAGCTTTTATCACCTTTTGTATATAAGACTCTCTGTAATCTATTCAGAATAATGTTTATAGTCCAGAAATCAATCTGGAACTGTTTAGGAAAAACACCTTTTGTATGGCCATTAAGCAATACAATTATTTACCAAAATAATTAAAAGATCTTCCGACTAGAGTCTTTAAAAATCGACTTGGTGTATTACTTTTGGAAAAAATGTATATGTAATAACGTATGATATGATATGTACGATACAAATAATATAAGAACTGGTCAATTCATATGACTAATGAAATGTAAAGTGTAAAATTCCTTTAAAGACAAAATTGCGCGCCATTGTGTGTGGCAGAATATGCGAACTTACGATTGTACCACCTTACACATTTTTGTACCATATTCATGCAATAAATTATTATTATTATTTTAAACAGAATATGGTTTGTAGACATACATCGCCTGCAAGTCGGTTCTGTTTGATTGATTTGATTAAGTAGGTTTTATTACCAAAGAAAGGTGGTCCTGAGCTAGCCTAAATAGGCTAATACGATTTATTTTATTTTACTTATAAAATAAATCTTATGTTGAATAGATTATTAAAATATGGTTAAGTTAAAAGCCAGACGATCTTATTCAAGTCTAAAGGTACAAAGAAATTCCACCCGTATCACCTCGAAATCCGTCTTTCCACAACTGCCTGAGATTCAACTCACTTTTCGAAGCTCAGCACGGCGGTTTCGGATCGCCGGTCGCTCTCAAATCAGTCGTGAAGCAGTCATTTTATGATTTGGCATTCTGAAAAGGTGGAAGCTTGTAGTTTATTGTCTATAGAATGCCAAATCATAAAATGACTGCTTCACGACTGATTTCAGAGCGACCGCCGTTGAGAAACCGCTGAGTGAGTTCGAAAAGTGAGTTACAGAATCGCAGGGCAGAGCGTTTTTTAAGGCAGTTTTTACCGCGCACCACCACTTTGTGGAACCAGCTGCTCACTGAAGTATTTCCGGACATAGGAAATTCGGCATAGGATCCTTCAAGAAAAGAGCTTACCAATTCTTAAAAGACCGGCAACGCACTCGCGAGCCCCCTGGCATTGAGAGTGTCCATGGGCGGCGGTATCACTTAACATTAGGTGAGCTTACTACCCGTTTGCCGTTCTATATAAAGTTACTTATTAAATTGTCAATTTGTCTGTAAATTTTTAACGAACAAGAATTGTTACCATGATTTTATTTATTTAGGTTTTACTTAAACTTGTGAAAATCTCTTCTAAATTCTAATTCGTTTCAATAAAAATGAATCGTTAAATTGTTGCGAAGTAATTGGTACTCGAACTCTATTACGGCAAAGTTGTTTAAAATCCTTTCAATTTTAAAAGGTTGTATCAAAGGAATCTTTCAGAATCAGATTTATTTGAAAAGTTTCCTTGTTTAAGCGTGTTGAGAATACATTAAAAAGTTTGTACCGACTGTCAAGTAGCGTCAGCACAAGGTACGCCGTGATAAGTAAATTTTCAGAAAATATTGACAGCCAGTAATATTCTGTTTAAAACTTTTTGACAAGACAATTAGATTATTATTCCGTTGTATTACGAGTAGATGTATGAGAAGGTATAAAGAGGCAAGTCGCGCGATATGCGGTTTGGCAAATATTATATAATTTTTGTTTACTATCTTATAATTAAATTTATTTATTTTTATCATTATAATTCAGAAATCGTTCTGCAATTGCTACGAAATTAAATGATTTATTTAAAAAAATCAGTGGCGCTACAACCATTTAAGGTCAGGGCCTCAGATTTCTGTATCTGTTTCAACTTTCATCATATTTGTTAATCTAATAGTCATTAAAGTAGGTTATCAGCCTCCTGTGCCTGACGCACGCCGTCGACTTTTTGTGTCTAAGGTATGCGGGCTTCCTCACGTTGTTTTCCTTCACCGTTCGTGCGTATGTTAAATGCGCACATAGAAAGAAAGCCCATTGGTGCACAGCCAAGGATCGAACCTACGACCCCAGGGATGAGAGTCGCACGCTGAATCCACTAGGCCAACACTGCTCTAAATGCTTGATTAGTCGTCGAATCATTTAATGTAAAATAGGTAAGGCAGGAACTAATCTTTTAAACATTACTTTTAATCTAACAAAATATTTAATAAACGACCCTTAACTGACCGTAACTCGTAAGCTGTGTGTGTGTTGGGAATACATAGGTATCCCTAGGTTATAGCCAAAACAAGACCAACTTCCCTTATAAGTTATAATTCCTATTAGGAAGGGTTAAAACACCAGTAGCAATAATGTTCAATAAGTTCTTCAATAAACAACGATATAACCTTACAAATTACGAAAGGTTTAATGGAATTACTGGGATTTCACTTTTACTCAAGTTAAACCCATAGAAAATCGGTGTCACTTTACAAAATTATTTATTTGCTTAGCGTTAAATAATTAAGTATTACTTGTCAAGTATCAAGTACTTGCGGATCAAGTATTACTTGGAGCATCTGTTATTCGCGTCTACGCCTGACTAATTAAAGAGTTGTGTTGCTATAGTTTTAAGCATAAAAATAAATCAGTGTCGCTACTACCTTTTCAGGTCTGGGCCTCAGATTTCTGTATCTGTTTCATGATTATTTGTCAATCTAATAGACTAGTAGGTGATCAGTCTCCAGTGCCTGACACACGTCGTCGCCTTTTTGGGTGTAAGGCAAGCCGGTTCCTCACGATGTTTACCTTCGCCTTTCGAGCGAATGTTTAATGCGCACATAGAATGAAAATCCAGTGGTGCACAGCCGGGAATCGAACCTACGACCTCAGGGATGAGAGTCGCACGCTGATGCCACAAGGCCAACACTGCTCTTAAGCATGGACATGTTAATACACTCACCAAACTTCTTTCATTTCATCTAAAGGTCAGTACTCACATACGGTATTGCTCGATAGTTTTACTCGAAGTCGAGTAAAAATCAACGTGTGAACCGCAAAACTCACAGCTCGAAGGCTCGCACCGAGCCGGCTCGATGGAATTAAATGAAAGTAATTTCCTTCGAACCCATTCGAAGCGAGCCGTCAATCTTGACTCGAACGTGTGTACGTGACCGCGAGTGGCGCGAGGCGAGCGTCAGTCTGGTATTGTTTATCGTGATTGAAACACGTGTTTTTAAGAGAAATGGATTTGCGAGTTTATTCCAAAAGCGCTATAGAAGACTTTATTAACACAAATAGACAGTGTGAGTGTTTATGGAATGTCAAGTCCAAAGATTACTCCCACAAAAATAAGAGAAATGAATGTTATGATAAATTACTAGCTGTGCTTAACGTTTTTTCTTTTCATTTTCTTTGATTTTCTTATAAAGCACTGTGAGACTTGCTAAATACAGCCACCGTCTCCTTTGTTGCACAGACATCCTTTGGGCTTTGGCTCGAACGGCTCGGTGAATACTGAACGGCGCGCCTCATTCGATAGATCAATGCTCAATGTGTGGACGAAAGCCCATGCCATGGGTTTTACTCGACAGTTTAGCTCGATCGAGTAATACCGTATGTGAGTACTGACCTTAAGACATGATATGACACAAAAACATCTGCGGTATTTAAACTTTCGCTATACCGCTATTTTCTTGTTATTATTCAAAATGATCTACATTTTGTAATTATCTCTTGTTCTTTGAAGATTGAAAGCTCGAATAAAGCTCTGTTTAGACGGGTGGTCTCAACGTCGATCAACACTTGCTAATAAGTATTATTTGAGAAGTTGCTTGCTTTGATTACAAAAAATAGGTTAAGATTTTCATGTCTTCTTACCTTATAATAATACGGACATTTCTAAGATTTATTATGAGAAAGAATCATCACACGGTGTACATACCGTAATTACTAATGGATTCATAGCCTAGTTTGGTTTTATTTCAAGCGACACAGCTATTTCCAGGTTGGAAGACACAGAGAACTGATAACCTTCTTGTCTATAGGGAAACTATTACTAGAATTCGAACATATATGTAAAGAATTGACTTGATATTAACAAAATCGTATCTAGAACTATATAATTCAATTACCATTAAACAACACGCCATACGATTTATATCTTAATGTTATTAATCTTCGTCAGCGTGAGGTGCTTTGAGGGTCTGTTCAGCGACACGAATTCTAAATCAAAAGACTACTTTTTCCATTTTCCGCTTGACCAATGACACTTTTCATTCTAAGATTAAAGAAGATATAAATCTTGTATTCGATTCATTGAGGAAGAAAATCAAGGCCTGTCTTTCCTTTACATATTATTATTTATTATATTTAAAAGCATTTATTTTACAACCATTCCTAAATATAGTCACAAATTACAATTCTGTCCAACAGGCAATCTTACTTTATATAAAATATGTAATTTGCAGACTAGTCATGCAATAGGGAATAATATGTGTGAGTACCCCACATACTAAACGAATTCAACTATTTTTCTAGTGCCTCCACTTGGTGTACTTTTTGAAGTAAGCGTTTTCTTTAAAAAAATGAATTCAAAGAAAAAGTAAGTTTTATATTTTAACCAAGTATATAATATCAAAACAGAGTTCAAAAAATGTCATCATTTTGCACAGGACATCAGGATTGACATCAGGTGAGCCTGTCCGTTGGTCCTGTTTTAAAAAAAGGTTGGTAGAATATGCTCATTTGTCAATAATATTAAAATTTATATCTAATGTGTTTGCGAAGACATATTCCGTAGATATAATATTGAAAGTCAGTACCTCAGCATAATGCTGAGCCAGGGCCAATTACAACCACAGCACACACGCATTACACAATTGCCTTGTTCTTTAAAAAAAAACCGTTTGTTATCTTTCATTCTTTTTTATTTTTTTGATTACTGTTTCGATGACTGATGAGATAGTTATGTCACGGCCTAGCAAATCTTAGCTTAACTCTTGGCACAAAT